AAATACCAAAAACATATGTAATGCAATTAATAATCTTTTTTACAAGAATTGACTTCAATTTACAGTTAAAGTAAACCATGTCAACCAACTAATTTCAATAACTAACAAATAAAATTGATGTTCACATACATTTTAACTGTGCTTAATTATAATCTTAACATTAATTCCACCCAGCCATAAAAATAAATAATAAACGACACGAAAACGAAGAGAGACATTACAGAGATAGAAATGTTAAATTGCTAATTAGTATATTTCTGTAGTGCCTTGAATAAAGCATCGTTTGAAAACGTTTTCTGGTTTTAGATATCTCGAAGAGATCGGATAACTGTAATGTTTTTAGTTTATTATCTCGCAAAGACTGAAGCATTAAAATTACACGTCCAGTGTTATTTAAGGAATCGTTCAGTCTGTCGTGCACCATCTATCTCGATCAAATTAATATCGAATTCCCCGTCAAATTCCAGCGGGAACAGGAATATTATCGCGCGAGAAAATGACTCCGTTGAAATTCCTTGATATTCTACGGTGAGGATCCTCGTTTAATACTTTGACCTATATTCGGCTGACATTTGAATTTTCATGGGAACTTGATACCTATTTTGAGGGAAACGATCTTACATCCTAACTATAAACTGTTTTATATCGTTCTGGAAGACGGAATGATGTAATACGAAGACACTTTGCTTGGTAATTGTCAGAATCGTTCTTGGAGATAACTGGTGTGTATGGAGATGTGTTAACATTTTTATGGGGAGTTCGTATGAAACTTAATGGTGATGGGACTCTTTTTGAGGACGCTTCAGGTTTGTTAATATTTCGAGTTTATTGTTAATTTTGGAATTATGATAGATGGAGATTATGTGGTTACTGAAACTCTCAAATTTCTCTAGTTTTTCGAATATTCAAAATTTGTCAATTTTCCCAAATTTTTCGAATTCCCCAAATTCCCTAAAATTCCCAAATTGTCTAAATTTGTCATATTCTCCAAATTTCACACATCCCTCAAATTACCCAAATTGCCCACATTTCCAATTGTCTCAAATTCCCTAATTTTCCTAAATATCCAAAATTTGCCAATTTTTCCAAATTTTTCAAATTCCCCAAATTTCTCAAAATTTTCAAATTTCCCGAATTTCTCAAATTCCCTAAATTTTCCATATTGTCTAAACTTTTCCTATTCTCCACATTTCCAAAATCCCCAAAATTTTTCAAATTCCCCAAATTTCCCAAATTCCTCAAATTAAATAAATTGCCCACATTTCCCAATTGTCTCAAATTCCCCAAATTTCCTAATTTTCGCAAATCTCTAAAATTTGTTAATTTTTCCAGTTTGCAAATTCCCCAAATTTCTCAAATTCCCCAAATTTACCAAATGGTCTAAATTTGTCATATTCTCCAAATTTCCCAAATCCTCTGAATTCCTCAAATTTACAAAAATTATCCAAATGTCACAAATTCCCCGAATTCCCTACATTTCCCAAATCACAAAAATTTCTCAATTATCCCAAATTTTTCAAACTTCTTAAATTTCTTTATTTTCCCAAATCTACTAATTTTCCAAATTTCATAAAGCATTCAAATTTCCTAAATTTTAACAATTTCAAAAACTTCAAAAATTTCAAAAATTTCAAAAATTGCATAAACTTCCAAAATTTCAAAAATTTCACAAACTTCAAAAATTTCATAAACCAAAAATTTCAAAAATTTCAAAAATTGCATAAACTTGAAAAATTTCAAAAATTGCATAAACTTCAAAAATTTCAAAAATTTCATAAACTTCTAAAATTTCAAAAATTTCACAAACTTCAAAAATTTCATAAACTTCAAAAATTTTTTAAATTTCATAAACTTCAAAAATTGTTTAAATTTCATAATCTTGAAAAATTTCAAAAATTTCATAAACTTCAAAAATTTCAAAAATTGCATAAGTTTCAAAAATTTCAAAAATTTCTAAAAATTAAGGAATTGTCGAATTCTCAAATTTTCTAATTTTTCCACTTTCCAATTTCTAATTTTTAATTCCCTTATTCCCAAATTCTCTAATTCCCAAATTCCCAAATTCCCAAACATACTATTTGTCCAATTTTCCTATTAAAAATCCCCAATTACCTATTTAACCAAAAACTCAACGACAATCGAATTCTACAAACAACAAAACCCATAATTGTTCGAAATTGACATAAGAAGCGAATTAAATCTAATTAATACAAGCGAACAAGGTAAATGAAATAAGTACATGGTACGGAATGGCGGTTGTAAATTTCATATTTCGTTTGATGGATTGAAAGCCATTGAAAATGATCCTCCTCGAAACGAGAGCTCGCGTTAATATCCATATAATTAAAGGCGGGAAAGTTTCACGGCGGATTTTCAACGCTAAACGGTCAATATCGACTCGATGAAAAATTCACAGACTTTTTAATTCTTGCTTCGGGGAATAATTTTTCCGTTCTGCCATTATCGCCAATTCCGTTCGATTCTTTTACTTTTCACGTTTCTGTTTCTGTTTCGAATTTCTCGGATTTGTGTTAAATACATTTTATTGCATCGTAGTCTGAAAATCTACAACTCTGAAAGTCTGAAATTCTGTAAGATTCAAATAACGAAATTTTGAAAATGTGAAATTCTGAAATCCTGAAATCCTGAAATCCTGAAATCCTGAAATCCTGAAATTCTGAAATCCTGAAATCCTAAAATCCTAAAATCCTAAAATCCTAACATTCTAAAATTCTAAAACCCTAAAAAAATAAAAAAACCTTAAAATCCTACATGTTTGTAATTTTGTCAATTTGCCAATTTGTCAGTTTGTCAATTTGTCAATTTGTCAATTTGTCAATTTGTCAATTTGTCAATTTGTAATTTTGTAATTTTGTCAATTTGTAATTTTGTCAATTTGTAATTTTGTCAATTTGTAATTTTGTCAATTTGTAATTTTGTAATTTTGTAATTTTGTAATTTTGTAATTTTGTAATTTTGTAATTTTGTAACTTTGCAATTTTGTCATCTTATAATCTTGACATTTTAAAATTCCGAAATTTTGAAATTTGAAGGTCTAAAGTTCTGAAATTCTCAGTTCAAAAAATTCTAAAAATTCTAAAAATTCTAAAAATTCTAAAAATTCTAAAAATTCTAAAAATTCTAAAAATTCTAAAAATTCTAAAAGTTCTCCAAATTCTCCAAATTCCAAAACTTCCCAAAATTCACAAAGTTCTGAAAATTCTGTAACTTCTCAAAATTCTCCAAATTCTTAAAATTATAAAAATTCTCCAAATTCCAAAAATTCCCAAAATTCACAAAGTTCTGAAAATTCTGAAACTTCTCAGAATTCTCCAAATTTTTTAAATCCTAAAAATTCTCCAAATTCTCCAAATTTTCAAAAATCCAAAAATTCCCAAAATTCACAGTTCTGAAAATTCTGAAACTTCTCAAAATTCTCCAAATTCTTAAAATCCTAAAAATTCTTCAAATTCTCCAAATTTTCCAAATTCTCAAAATTCCAAAAATTCCAAAAATTCCAAAAATTCTCAGTTCTGAAAATTCTGAAATTTCTCAAAATTCTCCAAATTCTTAAAATCCTAAAAATTCTCCAAATTCTCCAAATTCTCAAAATTCCAAAAATTCTCAGTTCTGAAAATTCTGAAATTTCTCAAAATTCTCAAAATTCTTAAAATCCTAACAATTCTCAAAATTCCAAAAATTCCAAAAATTCTCAGTTCTGAAAATTCTGAAATTTCTGAAATTTCTCAAAATTCTCAAAATTCTTAAAATCCTAAAAATTCTCAAAATTCATAAAATTCCAAAAATTCTGAAAGCTGTAAAAATTCAGAAAAATGTGAAATCCTTGAATGGCGATATGGGTTCGCATGAAATACAAACTGATCAGAATCTAACATGATCTGCAAATGAACCCTACACCGTGCTACTGCATGAATGCGTCGAATTCGATGCTGACTAATCGAGGCAATTTGATATCCACTGATTCGTAACATCGATCAATACTACTGGTAAATAGGGCTGTTCTGCCTGTTGCTGATCCTCTCCTACTATAATTATTCTAAAAATTACCGAATGCCGATCAACTACGAACTTGCTAAAAAATTATTCCCATTCGTTACAATTTTACTTTGTCGTTGCTGTAATAACAATATTTACATTACTGTACTCCAAATATTTCCTTCAAACTCAGAACATGGAGAGATTTAATAATTATTTGCATGAATAACATTCCAGTTAAATGTTTGAAAATATGGGTAATTAATTTCAGTTGATTTAGATGTAAATTACGATTAATTAATTTAAATTATATTCATCTACTTAATTGTATTTATAATTTAAAATATTAATTAAAATTGAGGAATAAAAATTTATATTTAATATTCATTTAGCTGATTATATTTATAATTTGAAGATTCGATTAATTTCACTTAATTATTTTATTTGAACTAAGTTTCAAAGTAAGTGAATCATAATAAATAGCACAAGAAGAGAAATGATTGATCAATTGATTATTGATTAATTTATTTTGGATCAATGGATGATTGATTAATCGATTGCTGATTAAATGATTATTGATTAGTCGATTGCTGATCGATTGATTATTGATGACTTGATTATTCACGAATTCAATATTGATGAATTAATTATTGATTAATTTATTGGGGAGCAATTGATAATTGATGAATTGTTAACTGATATATTGATTATTGATGAATTTATTATTGACGAATCGATTATTGATTAATCTATTGTCGATCAACTGATACTTGATTAATCGATTGCTGATTAAATGATTACTGAATAGTGGATTGTTGATCAATTGATTATTGATGAATTGATAACTGATATATTGATTATTGATAAATCTATCATTGATGAATTGATTGTTAATGAGTTGATCATTGATGAATTGACTATTGATTATTTTATTCTTGATCGATTGATTATTAATTAATTGACTGTTCAGTAATCGATAATTGTTATTAAAAATAGCAACTCACCTCAGCAGGAAATGCATAATTATTGATACGATGCTCAGATCCATGATCATTGTCCATTCCATAGTGAATGTAGATCTCTTCGAACTGATAATGATAAGCAAGCGGACCACCCGTTATATTAACTCGCACTTTTGCTTCTCGATCCGCTCTGAATACCAGAAACTGACCAGTATTGTGTAAATGTCCGGAAACCTGGAAATTCAAGCAAAAATGTTCTCTTTTAAGTCTAACATCGTCGGAAGTGAATTCCACGAAAATTCAACGAACGCCATTAAAATTTAATTATAATTAAAAGTAAATTAAATTTAAGTATTATTTATAATAAAATTAACAATTCGTAAATTCTAAAGAACTCTATTTATCTAAATTATAAATATGTGATTACAATAAACAGAAATTGTAAATTAAATAAAATTTGCAAAAATGATAGAATTATGAATGAAATTTACCAAAATTGCATAATAAAAAATAAAATTAACAAATTAAACAATTAAGTAATTAAACAATTTCGTTCTAAATAATGATCTAACTTGATTATATAAATGTTACCATTGAAAAACCGAAATCTGGTGAATGTCGACATTCACATAGTCGCTTGGTGTACGTCCGAAATATTTGCTAAATACCCTTATTTCTGACTTACACCGGTAAATGTCGACATTCACCATGCACTAATGGTGAATGTTGATCATGTCGGAGATTTATATTTTCTTCTCCGTAATTCAGTCGCTATAAAACGTCACAAGGGCGACGTAACTCTTTCGCCTCTCTTTCTGAGAGGAGAGACCAACAATTTAAAACACATAGTACATTCTAAGCATACGTGTTCTTCCTCCGTGGCCTATTCTGGCGCGAGTTTCATATAGTATACTGAACAATTTTTCATTGGTAACATAATACTGTATATTCGTTTCCCCTGATTTTAATGGTACAATTAATTTCCTTTCATCATTAATTTTTAAAACGTCAAAACGTTTTAATCGTCTGTAATCCAAAGGTGTGTTGCACTTAGTTTTAGCAGAAACCACTTCAGAAAGTATTTTAGAGTACTTTTCTTGAGAAAAATAAAAACAATTGTCTTCTCGTTTACCCGCAATTAATGCATTTAACTTTTCAAGAAAAAGATCACGATTTACTGCAGTATCCATTCAGTA